CAGGTGTTGTGGCATGGCCATCTCCTCGGGGGGAGGTGCTTTCTCACTCTCCCTCTCTGGCAAATGCACATGCCCTATAGCAAAACTATAAAAAATACCACACCCCCGGTCTTTACGGGCACTTGCGTTTCTCACCATCTTCCACGTCCCGGTTCCCTGCAACCTTTCCCTCTCCTTCCGTGCGCTACATGAAATGCCCTCTTCCTCTCCACCTTTCCTGCACTGTCTTGAAGACTTCCTCCTGGGATATCTCACACACTTTCTACCCTGCATCTTTTTTTTTTTTTTATAGACCACAGATTAGTTTCTTTTTAACACCCACCATCCCATGAATTCATAGAGAATAGGTTCCAGTAGCTCAGGCTCTTTCCACTGGTTCTCACAGGTGCGCTTCTCTGGGTGGAGCAGGCTGGCGCTTTAGTTGAACCCAGGTCCCTTTCTCTTTGGCTTCTTTTTCTGGTCATTTTCCTTCACACGTTTTAGGAAGCTGTCTCTGCTCTTAGAATGTTTAATATGCTCAATACGCACATTAATTCTCTTGGCAAGAACCTTGCCCTTAACTTGTTTGTTCATAACATGCCAACAGCATGCTGGGTAACATTGTAGACTCTTCCAGTTTTGCCATGGTAACATTTGTGGGGCATTCCTTTTTGAACAGTACCCATTCCCTTAATGTCTACAATATCACCTTTCTTGTAGATTCGCATATATGTCGCCAAAGGAACAACTCCATGTTTTCTAAAAGGCCTAGAGAAGTGCCACTCATCTTTCCTGTTGTGTTCGTCATTTTGGTTAATTACTGGAAGATGGCGGTTCCTACCCTGCATCTTGACTCTGCTTCCACGAACTGGTCTGATGGGATACAGGTGTGCTCTGTGGGGACCCCACAATTTAAAAGAGGAAATTTACATCACTCTGGGTCCACCCACCATGGTGAACATTACATCACATAGGCATTCATGCTCTCTGATCAACTGTTCACTGGATACTTTTCTAAGCAGTAACCACGAGTTTTTGTCTGATTTTTTTTTAAAGAGAGATTTCTGCTATAGGGCATGTGCACTTGCCAGAGACAGAAAGCAAGAAATCACCCCCCAGGAGGATGGCCACAGCACAATCCCTTTTCCGCCATTCTCCTCTTGGGATTTCGGGCATGTGTGCACACACACCTGGCATGAATTTAAGCCACTGAGTCTGGGACTTGAACTGCAGCTGGCCATGTGGGAGTCCAGTGATATAACCACTATGCCATCTGCTGGTCTCGTGTTATTATTTTTAACCATATATCTGTTACCCTTTAACATTTCAAATAACATCTTAGGAAAATGAGAATACAGATATTTCCCTTTCTTTTTTGCCCAAAGTCTAACAATTTGCAGGTCTTCATGCTTAACTATAAATGATAAAAAAACAAAACAAAAACACAACCCTGTGGTATGATAATGGGAACCAAGAAACCCGTCATTTTTGTTATCATACTAATACTGTAAGTAATCACATTTTATTACCGATGCCTTTTATACTCCACCTTATATAATTACGTCTTAGCAGTAAGACAAAGTGCTACCCTGATTTTCCAGATAAACTTCTTCCCGGGAATCATACCAGTCTGTTCTGTGCACAATCCCTCCAAACATAAGGGTGTAAACTTGGGGTTCTGAAGTGACTGAAGACAGAAGGCCCTTCAGGATTTCACTCTAAGGTCACAATGACAGTGCACAGGTTGTAGTATGGGGTGGAGGCAAGAAGCTGGGCATTTATATTGTTAGGAAAACATACAGCCTCAGCACTTGCTAAGGACCTGCAGATCTAAGTTAACCCTAAGAGGCAGGTTCTGTTATTATCTTCATCTTGGAGGTGAGCAAACTTGGCCGAGAGAGATTAATTAACTTGCCCAACAGCACAAAAGAAGTTACAAACACCCTGATCTTAACAACTAGTAAAAGACTAAGTTGCTTTTTTGAACAAATCTCTATTCAAACAGTATGAATAATTTTTTCAGTTAGAAAAAATTAGACCAATTACTCTGGTAGGAATGTTTATTATTTCAGAAATATGCATCCCATGTCCTTTGAGATGATTAAAATTATTTCTAGATTACAATAAACATTTTTCGAGCGCCAGAGGTCTGGATGGCAAAGCTGTGCTTTGTGGACCTCTTGTGTGCCTGTGGCTGGGACTGCAGATCGCAATGACCGTCCCCTCCCTCGAGGAGCTGGACTCCCTCAAGTACAGTGACCTGCAGAACTTAGCCAAGAACCTGGGCCTTCGGGCTAACCTGAGGGCAGCCAAATTATTAAAAGTCTTGAAAGCTCACCTTAAACAAGAGAAGAAAATGAGAATCGGGATGAAATCAGACTTCTGTATCCTCTTGTGATAAAAATGAGATCCAAACTGGCAGCCAGCAACAAGCAGAGCGAGAGCCTGCTGGTCACGTCACCAAGATGAGGCGGTGGCGCAAGGGAATCCTCACTCCCAGCAGGATCATTCAGAGATAAAAATACGTGATCCCATTGAATTCCAGAATCAAAAATGCAGGAAAACCAGGATCTCAGAACTACAACTGAAGTGAAGCTTCTGTCAGATGAAAGCCAAGCACAGGGGGATACGGATTCCTCAGGGAAGAGAGGAATACATGGTAAAAAAGACTCAAAGGTACCTTCAGGAAGGAAGAAGTCTGTCTACCCAGATGGGTTTTCCAAACCTGGGAAAAATAAAGAACCACAAACACTACTCCAGCTTTAAGAAGCTTCATGAGGCTTGTTTCAAGGAAATGGAATCCGTTGATCAATATATTGAGAGGAAAAAGAAACATTTTGAAGCACACAATTCATTCAATGGGCTGAAGCAGCAGTTCACGAGTAAGGGAGGGGTAGTGACTCCCGTTCATCCAAGATCTTCCGCGACTTGTACGCCTGTCAACTAGCAGCGCTCTTAAGTCAGAGAGTACCTTGTGTCAGAAGGGGTCTATCAGATGCTCAGCTCTCTCCACAACTAAAATGAATGTCAGGTTCTTGGCTGCTACTAAGGATAACGAGCATAAACGTTCACTGACCAAGACTCCAGGCAGGGAGTCTCCATATGTGACTAACTGGAAGTACCCCAAAAGGCCAGGCTGTGCTTGAGTCACACAGTTAAAGACACCTGGGAGGAACTCTGCTGCTGGTAATACACCATTTAAGTTGACAACCGAGGTATCACAGACTCGAGTCTCCAATAAGAAACCAGTGTTTGGGACCAGCAGTTAGCGTAATGGCTATGTCGCTGAACTCCCATGTAGTCGACCACAGTTCGAGTCCCGGACCCAGTGGTTATACTCACGCCAGGTGCGTGTGCGTGTGTGCCCAAGATCCCGAGAGAAGAATGGAGGAGGAGGGATTGTGGTGTGACCATCCCCCCTGGGGGGTGATTTCTCACTTTGTGTCTCTGGCGGGCACATGTGCCCTATAGCAAAAAAGAAACCAGTGTTTGATCTGAAAGCAAGCTTGTCTCGTCCTCTCAACTATGAGCCACACTAAGGAAAGCTGAAACCATGGGAGCAATCTAAAGAAAATAATTCTCTGAGTGACATGGAAATAGTTACCTTCCACAAGAAAACTTACAGCCTTATCTCTAGACCAGGGAAGAGCAACAGAAAAAACACGAGCAAAAACGGAAGGAGAAGAAAGCAAAGATCTTGGGAGCTCGAAGAGGGCTCATTATGGCTAAAACTTAATAATTTTCTAACATCTATAAATATTCCTTTATTCTGAACGTTTTTTGTTTTGTAAATATTTTATACTGTCTTCCTCACTTCAATCAAACCTTTTTTTATTGTTAACTCTTCAAATGATCTTTGGTTTTCATGGGTTCTTTATGTATGGAATCTCTGAAGAGGCATTACCACCTTTGAGGTCACAAATTCACTGAAATGTTCTCTGTGTGAAAGTTCCTATACCACTCAGTTTTCTAATGAGACTCATCTTAGAGATTCTTAACCTAGATTTTTAATGCCAAGTTCCCCCTGCTGGTTCTGATATTAACTGCAGCCCTCTTCTAGGCAACAGCATTCATCTGATGGCGGCCGGGTACAGCACAGGTCTCACTAGAATTGGAATAGCGACAAGTTAATAGGAAGAGAGCTAGGTAGAAATGCCCCTTCATCCTCGTCTGTAGAGAATCCAGCCAGTCATCCTTACGCAACTGGGTCATACGGTCTGGCTATGGCATCAGCATTTTACCGCTGTGAAAAGCTTTGTTTGTTAAAAGTGTAGATGCACCTTTGTTCAGATCACTTCATCATATAACTGCCATCATATACTTAGGAATAAAACTATAGCTCATTCTAATCTTATTTAAAAGCTACAGGGCCCTATTGAAATTTGAAGCTTATCGATTTAAGGTTACTAAGTTATATCAAACTTAGATCTTACTCATTTATTTTGAAGACTGGAGTTACTTAGCATCATATGTAAGTTTGTTGTACCTAAGTAGAACTTCTGAGTTATGCACTGTTGAAGAGTTTCATAAATAAAATTTTGTCTTACTGTTAAAAAAAATTTTCAAAAATAGCAATTATCTCAATAATTATACAGACTTATTTCCATTCATTGAAGACTTCTCAAAATAATAACTCAATATAAAAAAACTTATGTCACAAAAAAATTAAGTAATGGTCTATGCAGGACAGAAGGAAAATTCTAATATGGGAAACTAATAAAGCATTATTTCCTATTCCACATTAATTGGTATATTTGATAAAGAAAATTAGTTTAGCATTGCTTTTTAGTGCTTAGTCTAAGAAATACAAGAATCCAACCATTTTGAAAGAATAACTGCCTTCATAATCTCAAGTGTAGCCACACACTATACTTGAGATGAAAACTTGAAGAGGTGAGAAAAGCAAGCATGTATTTAATTAGACATTCCAGTAAATAATTTATAAAACCCTCAGCAATTACAAACATATTATTTGCATACAGAAAAGAACAATTTCCATGTTTTGAATATTCTACCTTGAGAACAGTTTTAAGGATCTTTTATTTCAGCAGATTTGAAAGTAAAACTCATACACACATTTTCATCAGGGAATTTTCTACACGACTGACATCCTGTACCACCCTGACAACAAAAAGCCAACCAGGGTCACACCTGCCCTGAGAGAGCCCAGGAGGGGCTGCATCCCTGGTCTGTGCGCTAAATCCCACAGTAAGAGCAGCCGCCTGTTCCCAAGTCCCCAGAGGGCTCTCATTGGCGCACCACTAATCACGCAAGGGCTCCATCCTAAGTATTCGGAGACAGACTGGGCGACCCTTTTCTTCTCTGGTCCCTTTAGCAAACCTCTAGGTCACTTATGATAACACCTGAGATATTCCGCAGACAAATGCAAGTTTGTTAACTTTACTCGACCTGATGAATTCAAAAACAGGCAAAATACTTTAATTCCCTTTAACAGAAAACTGAACATTTTAAAATTACTTAAAAGTGAGAAGTGGAAATGTGTGTGCTTATTTGGAAGAGAAGTACTTAATTTATTCTAAGAAAAAGCAGACCTGAAGCCTCACATTACTGGGACGTTTTCAACACGCTGACAAGTTTTATCTCCCACACTTCAGTTCCAGCTCTTGAACAAGCGACATGGTGAGGATCTGCCCCGAGTCAACAAGCAAGGAAGCGGGCGGCGTGGAGAAGCCAGAGCTGCCACTTCATTTCTTTCTGTTGCTTCCGGTTGCCAGCATGGTTGCAACCCGCATGAATATATTTAATGTATCCATGTAGATTCCCAGCATCCTAGAAGAAAAATTACGTCCATTATACATGATGTGATTCTGATTCATGGTGATAACCTTTTTTTTTTAATTTGCTATAGGGCACGTGACCTTGCCATATAGAGACAGAGAGAAAAGGATAGTGAGAAAGCACGGAGGGACGGCCAAGCCTCAACCCCTTCCCCTGTGCTCTCTCCAGGGTTCCGGGAGTGCACGTTCACATGCCCAGTGCTTTTCGGGCTGCCAGGTCTGGGACGTGTACCGCAGTCAGCCCTGTGCAATGCAGCTGCTGTAACCACTATGGCACTGGCTGGCCCTAAATTATTTTTCAATACAGCAAACAAAAAGAAATAGAGTATTTTTCCTAGCTATGTGAAACGGAAATTAAAACGCTGGCTCAGGACCAGCGTCACAATGCAGCAATTCAGCACGGCATCGAAGTCAGAACTCACAGCCAACTAGGGTTTGAGTCCCGGGCAATGATTGGTGTGCACATACCCAGGATGCCAAAGGGAAGAGATGGAGAAAGACTGTGGCAGTACTAGGCCCCGCTGAAAGGGGTGTTCTCTCTTTGTGCACGCATACCAGCACATACCTCTGGCATTAAAAAAACGAAGAAAAAAATATGGTGGGGGTCAGCAGGAGGTATAGTGGTTACAGCACTGGACTCCCACATGGCTGACTGTGGTTCAAATCTCAGACCCGGCAGCTTGAAAATCATGGTGGACGCATATATGTGTGTGCTCAGGATCCTGGGAGAAGAATGGAGGAAAAACGACTGCGGTGTGGCCATCCTGCCTGAGGGCTGATCTGTCACTTTCTTGCTTTCTTTTTTTTGGGAGAGGTTTTTTTGCTATAGGGCGTGTGCGCTCGCCAGACAGAGAGAGACAGAGAGACAGAAAGTGAGAAATCACCCCCTAGGGGGGATGGCCATGCCACAATCCCTTCTCCTCCATTCTCTTCTCGGGATCTTGGGCACACATGCACACGTGCCCAGCCTGAGTTTTAAGCCACCAGGTCCGGAACATGAACTGCGGTCAACTACGTGAGAGTACAACAACGTAGCCGTTACGCTACGCTGCTGCTGGTCCCTGTCACTTTCTTGCTTTCTATCTGTGTCTCCTGCACACATGTGCCCCATAGCAAAAATCTCTTTAAAAAAACCGAAAAACGATGATCAATTAAGGAAGTCCTAGAAACAGCTGAGGTATTCCTTTAGGCAGACTACATTATTTATTTATCTCGGATTATATTTTTTAAATTTAGAGGGTAGTTTTTAAAAATTATCATCCTGTTCTGATACTCTAAGTACAGTATCCTGCCAAAAACAAAGCCTATCCCCCCCCCAAAAAAAACCAAAAACAAAAACAAATCACCTGGGTGATAAGACAATAAAATAACCAAAACAAAACCAAAGAAACACCTTTACAAAAACTTGTTAGACACAAGTCTGGCATTCTTAAATATATTAATATACCCAACACTTCATCCCCTCTAAAGAAAACTGCTACAAATCCACAAGTTTAACATCAATTAAAAGACAAAACAAAACATTACATTAAGCCTTATTTTTAGGTAAAAACAAAATACTTAAAAAAATGTGACAGACATCATGAAAGTAAATAAATAACCTATTTTGGTAGAGCCCAAGGAATGAGACAAGGTGGCACTGAATAGCACGCTCTGCAAGCTGGTCCTCCTGGCTGGCACAGAGCGTGGGCTGAAGGGAACTCACCCACCACTCCCTGCCACTGAGGAGAGCAGCACCAGGTGACTAATGGGGACAATCTCTGAAGATGGGATTTCTGTACTAAAGAGTTTCTGATCTTTAGAAGTATAAAATATGCTCATCTGTGGAGATCCCATGTTGACTGTGTACATTTTCCAATACTCCTTTCCTCTGCTGCAGTCTGCTAACCACATACTACGAGAAAGGTTTAGCCAGCATGAGAACACCACTGTACGATTAGGCTAGCTAACAGAAACAGTGAAAATACTCTGAATAAATACCTAAACGTTACACTAAGTTGTTAGGTTTCTGGCCATATTAGTTTACTAAAGAGAGAATAAAATAAACTGCATCAGCTATGTACCAGTAAAATCTGACAACGCCAGGCTGCTAGTTGATCCGTGTCCCCAACCCAAAGGATATGCAGAAGCCCAGCCCTGAGTGTGCTCCTGCGACTTCGTTTGGAAATACGGACTGCACAGGTGTAATAGGCTGAGTCAGGGAGGACGCCCTGGGCCGGGGGCCTTCGATCCAATGAGTAGTGGATTAAGAAAAAGAGACTAAGACACAGGCACGCAGGGGGAACACCACGTGAGGACAGAGACCGGAGGGGTGCACTGTCAGCCAAGGAAGACAAGGAGTGCTGGGATATAAGAGGCACCCTCAACAGCCTCTCCTTCGGTACCAACCCTGCCAACCTCTTGATTTTGAACTTCGGAACTGCAGAACTGTGAGAAAATAAAGTTCTATTACCACCTAGTCTGTTATCTCGTTTGAACAGCCTTAGGAAACAGACCAGAGCCATGTGCAGTACCATTCAAAGGGACTTACGAATTGATGGGGTCGTATTTCTGCACCCCGTAGGCTGGTATCACTTCCGCCCGCTTGATCACTTTCTGGGTGTCGTACAGAAGGAACATGCTGAACAGAACCAACCCCCCGTACATCGCCACCGAGTACAGAGTGGCACCAGCCACAGTCGTAGGGGGAAGAAACATAGATCCTGAAACCAAAATGAAAGAGTTAACACATTTTTATCTTTAGAACACAAAGTCTTCCCCATAACTGGGTTTCTGGTTTATGTGGTCAGGAGAGCACTCAGAGAGAAGGTGCCCGAGTACCATGCTGTCTTCCATCAGTTCACAGCTTGTGGCACTCCGCACAACAGAGGCCCTCGCCCCATCATGGGAAGGTGCGCCGACCAGCTGCCCTATCTTGGAGGACCTGGAGGAGGCTGACCACAGCAGCAATGACAGCTCACCATGAGGCCGGGTTGTTACACGGTGCTAAACAGTACAATCAGCACATATAAGCAGCTGCTAACAGGGACTTCGTGATGAGGGTTAATGCTTCAGCAAGGCCCCGCCACAGAGGAATGTTTCCTGTTCAAGCCCGGAGATCCCCGAGTACACAGGTGTGCTTGTCAGGACCTGAGGCTAGTTAAAGGCTGGGGTGGATCAGGCATCTAGACTCTACTCTCATGAAAGAAATACATTAAACTGAAAAAAGACGCAACTCAACGAAGTAGGACAACTCAGTATTTCAGGTTTAGGACACCGTGAACCAAGAACCCCATGTCAAAGTGCAGTGGCTTACCTAGCGAGGACACGAAGACGAGCCCCAAGCCCACGCCCAGGGGGGCGCCCATGTTCAGAAACTTCTCACTGGGTGCACACATGGCCACAGTGGAGAGGCCTCCCACGATTCCAGCTGTGTACCACGCGGCTCGGATGAGAAGAGGCCCTCCGAGTATGGTCAGAGGAGCCACCACTGCACCCATCACACCTGGACAAAGAGCAACCACACGTCGAGCGTTTACTAGAAGCAACCCAGGGAGATTCCACTTCTACCGTGTCCTCTTAACACACTCGACTGTTAAGCAGGACAATTACAAGTTTTACCTTCAGCTACTACTGCCCCTAAAACCACAGGCAGGAGCTACGGCCGCCCCTCCTCCTAGTCCAACAGCCACGAGAAAAACAGCAAACAGGGAATGTCTCTTCAAGATCCTCAAGTTGAACCCATGGAACGTTAGGGAAAAAAATGTTGTTTTCAAGAAATTATGTTAATAATTTGGAGTATTGGGGGATGTTTCCTTAAAGTACAATAAACATTCTTTCATAATTGGAAAACTGTTGGAGAATCATGTGCATATTCAAAACACATATTAGAGCTCAAATAATTTTTTTTCTCATTAGCTTTTTTAAAAACTTGAAACAGTCACAAGTTGCACTTAAAGTGTCTAGCTCATTTATACACTTACAAAGAATTTGATATCCAGGGCCAGCAGGTCTAAAATGGTTAGGGCACTGGACTCCCACATGGCTGATTGACTGTGTACATTTTCCAATACTCCTTTCCTCTGCTGCAGTCTGCTAACCACATACTACGAGAAAGGTTTAGCCAGCATGAGAACACCACTGTACGATTAGGCTAGCTAACAGAAACAGTGAAAATACTCTGAATAAATACCTAAACGTTACACTAAGTTGTTAGGTTTCTGGCCATATTAGTTTACTAAAGAGAGAATAAAATAAACTGCATCAGCTATGTACCAGTAAAATCTGACAACGCCAGGCTGCTAGTTGATCCGTGTCCCCAACCCAAAGGATCTGCAGAAGCACAGCCCTGAGTGTGCTCCTGCGACTTCGTTTGGAAATACGGACTGCACAGGTGTAATAGGCTGAGTCAGGGAGGACGCCCTGGGCCGGGGGCCTTCGATCCAATGAGTAGTGGATTAAGAAAAAGAGACTAAGACACAGGCACGCAGGGGGAACACCACGTGAGGACAGAGACCGGAGGGGTGCACTGTCAGCCAAGGAAGACAAGGAGTGCTGGGATATAAGAGGCACCCTCAACAGCCTCTCCTTCGGTACCAACCCTGCCAACCTCTTGATTTTGAACTTCGGAACTGCAGAACTGTGAGAAAATAAAGTTCTATTACCACCTAGTCTGTTATCTCGTTTGAACAGCCTTAGGAAACAGACCAGAGCCATGTGCAGTACCATTCAAAGGGACTTACGAATTGATGGGGTCGTATTTCTGCACCCCGTAGGCTGGTATCACTTCCGCCCGCTTGATCACTTTCTGGGTGTCGTACAGAAGGAACATGCTGAACAGAACCAACCCCCCGTACATCGCCACCGAGTACAGAGTGGCACCAGCCACAGTCGTAGGGGGAAGAAACATAGATCCTGAAACCAAAATGAAAGAGTTAACACATTTTTATCTTTAGAACACAAAGTCTTCCCCATAACTGGGTTTCTGGTTTATGTGGTCAGGAGAGCACTCAGAGAGAAGGTGCCCGAGTACCATGCTGTCTTCCATCAGTTCACAGCTTGTGGCACTCCGCACAACAGAGGCCCTCGCCCCATCATGGGAAGGTGCGCCGACCAGCTGCCCTATCTTGGAGGACCTGGAGGAGGCTGACCACAGCAGCAATGACAGCTCACCATGAGGCCGGGTTGTTACACGGTGCTAAACAGTACAATCAGCACATATAAGCAGCTGCTAACAGGGACTTCGTGATGAGGGTTAATGCTTCAGCAAGGCCCCGCCACAGAGGAATGTTTCCTGTTCAAGCCCGGAGATCCCCGAGTACACAGGTGTGCTTGTCAGGACCTGAGGCTAGTTAAAGGCTGGGGTGGATCAGGCATCTAGACTCTACTCTCATGAAAGAAATACATTAAACTGAAAAAAGACGCAACTCAACGAAGTAGGACAACTCAGTATTTCAGGTTTAGGACACCGTGAACCAAGAACCCCATGTCAAAGTGCAGTGGCTTACCTAGCGAGGACACGAAGACGAGCCCCAAGCCCACGCCCAGGGGGGCGCCCATGTTCAGAAACTTCTCACTGGGTGCACACATGGCCACAGTGGAGAGGCCTCCCACGATTCCAGCTGTGTACCACGCGGCTCGGATGAGAAGAGGCCCTCCGAGTATGGTCAGAGGAGCCACCACTGCACCCATCACACCTGGACAAAGAGCAACCACACGTCGAGCGTTTACTAGAAGCAACCCAGGGAGATTCCACTTCTACCGTGTCCTCTTAACACACTCGACTGTTAAGCAGGACAATTACAAGTTTTACCTTCAGCTACTACTGCCCCTAAAACCACAGGCAGGAGCTACGGCCGCCCCTACTCCTAGTCCAACAGTCACAACTCATGGGCATACATGTGAACTGAAGGCGGAAACTGGTCGAGTTCCGTGGTTCCTGTGAGGTCCCTGTCTGGACCTGAACTTACCACCAGTTTTTACAATACTCACACATTAAGAATTGAGATAAAGGAGCTGGCAGGTAGCATAGTGGTTAAGGCATTGAACTCCCACATGGCTGACTGCAGTTGGAGTCCTGGACCTGGCAGCTTGCTTTCTCACTTTGTCTCTGTCTTTCTCAATTTTTAAGAAAAGTAAAAATTAAGTAATTCCTTTAAAAATTTAAAGAGAAAATTGATACAAAAAGGCTTACAATGAGTAAGTCAAGGTCGGCACCACTGCTGCCGAAAGGGAATAAAGTGAAAAACAATGAAGAAGTGACAGCAATGTTAAAATGCAGACCTTCCCACAGACACCAGTGCTGTTCTGAGTAAAAAGGAATGCCACAATAGCTTGTGAAAACTAATTGTAGTTACCAGCTATTTAAAAACTTCTTCATAAAAACTGCAGTGAAAGGTATCAATACTTTAATTCACAAAAGCAAACGAACTCATTAAAGAAAAAAACCTTAAAGGGACCAGCAGATGGTGTAATGGCTATGTGGCTGGACTCCCACATAGTTGATTGTGGTTTGAGTCCTGGACCTAGCAGCTTAAAACTCACACCAGGCATGTGTGCATGTGTGCCCAAGGTCCTGAGAGAATGGAGAAGGGATTGTGGCATGGCCATCTCCACTGGAGGGGATGCACTTTGGCTCGCCAGACAGCACATGCACCTTATAACAAAAATCTCTCTCTTAAAAAAAATAAATAAAAAATCTTAGAATAAAAAATCTTAGAGACGGTGTAATTTCAGCACCAAATTGAACAAGTCACCCTCTCCTAAATGTAGTTTAGCCCACAGAACAGGAACAAAACTAGCTTCACACTAAATTTTCAATAGTGTATCTGTATCGCAAGCCTCACACTTCTATTGACAGATGAAGTAAGAAGGCACCCTGTATTCCAAGATGGCAAATGTGTTAAAATGCTTTGCTCTAGGAAAAAATATCGGAGAAAAATTTCTATCTGTGATATTTGTATTAAAATCCTCTGGGCCAGCCAGTGGGGTGGTGGTTAAGGTGCTGGATTCCACATGGTCGAATGGGTGGTTGAGTCCTGAACCCAGTGGCTTGAAAAGCACGCTGGATGCATACGCATACATGCCAAGCTTCCAGGAGGAGGGAAGAGACAGGACTGTGGTGCGGGCATCCCCTCCAGGGGTGCTTCTTACATTCCGTCCCTCTCTCTCTCCAGGAATGCATGCACCATGGCCAAAATAAACAAATAAGTAGAAATTCCCTTTGTTTTCAAATCGGCAGCAAAATGATCTCTAACTTCAGAGTGTTTTAACGTTTTTTAAGATACCAAACAAAAACAACTTCACTTGATGTACATTGGATCTGAGATCCTCCTGGTTTTGGACAAAACACACCAAAAAAAAAAAAATTAAAAAAAAAATCTCTGAATATACCGCACCATTACAGAATACAAGTTCAATACTGGGGCTCCCAGCTTTTATACCAGAACCACTAACCTATCAGAGCAGAGAGGTTACACAGAACATAACCAGAAACTGGGGCCAGCAGGTGGCATGGTGGTTAAGGCACTGGACTCCGACATGGCCAGTCAGTTTGAGTCTCAGATCTCGGGGCTCGGGTTGCTTGCTCACTGCTGCCTGGCACCCCCATCACTGGTCAAATTAGAATGAATAAAGTTAAATAAAACAATTCTTTAAAAAATTAACATAGCCAGAAATAACTATAGAAAAATGGTTTTAAAAACATTTTTTTAAAGGTTTTTGCCAGAAGGTGTATGAGCTCCTTGGAAAGAAATAGAGAGGGGGAAAGTGAGGAATCACTTCCCAGGGATGGCCACACAGCAATCCCTTCTCCTCTACTCTCCCCTTGGGATTTTGGGCACACATGCAGACATGTCCTTCAAGCCTACGGGTCTGAGACTGGAATTGGAACTGTGGCTGGCCATGCGAAAGTCCAGTGCTTCAACCAGTATGCCACCTGCTGGTCCCCCAAAACTATGTTTTTTCAAATATGAGCTTCAATTCAATTAAACTGGATCATTTACAACTGTGAGGAAATCACTCCAACAGTCGTATTTGAGGTTGTTTAAGAACAACGTAAAATAAAACATACCAGAATGCAGCAACCAAGCAAGGTGCTTCGGGCCTGGGCTCTGGTCATAGGGCAGCGATCGTACCAGCATCCCAGCTCCAATCATGGCCGCGAAGGTTGCACCAATTGTCTGAAAGACACGTATTACTCAGAAAAACTATTCTTTCAACGAAGAAAGGAGAAACCGATGTTTCAAGTACAATTAGTCACTTCTAGTAAACAGATAGTGGTTTTCCTACTTCTTTGCTCAAGCTACTGGTAAAACTAGGCTGCCTTTGTCTTTTTCTAAAATAAAACGTGGGTGCTGCAGGTGGGGTGGGAGTACCCTGTGAATACTGGAGCTGAGAGACCACCTAGGTTCAGACTCAGGTCAACCTGAACATGTGAGGTGCTCCTAGGGGCAAGCCCTTATCCCTGGCAGCTAGAAGGCTGGAAGGGAGAAGTGCTGCATACCAAGACCCTGCTGGGAACCCAGTATCTCTCCTCATCTCTCATGAAAGGAAATAAAGAAACTTAAAGATATGTCAGCCTTTAATAACACTGATAAACAAATGTCTACTCTCAGGAACTTTCCTATTTATCTAAGAAACAGATTTTCAACTGACTGAGTTCACAGTTTCTACTACTTTTCCCTATAGTGTACGAACTCACCACGAGAGAGAGAGAGAGAGAGAGAGAGAGAAATCAAGACCCAGAAGGGATGGCTGCACTGCAACTCCTTCTCCCAGGATCTTGAGCACACACATACCTTTGCCCACCAGGTCTGGGGCTTGAACCACGGTTGACTATGTGGGAGTCCAGTGACAAACCCATGATACCATATGCTGGTCCACTTTTGTTTTTTAAAGAGACAGAACACACGTACGCCAGCTTGTATGCACAGCCTGGGCCCTTTAGGATGGTAGGTACGCATGCAGGTACCCAGGATGTTTTTCAACTCAGGGCCAGGACCCCAACTGCAGCTGGCCATGTGGGATCTGGCTTCCTATGCAGTGCCTCACTGTTGTGCTACGGGGCTGGCTAAGCATTGTTCCACAGTATCTATTAACAATGTAATGTTTGAGTTTTTCTTTTGAGAGTTTTTTATGAGGCACTTACGCTCACTAGAGAAAGTGAGACAGAAAGCAAAAAATCACCCCCCAGGGGGGATGGCCACATCACAATCCCTTCTCTCCATTCTCCTCTAGGAATCTTGGGCATGCTCACACAAGTGCCCAGTGTGAGTTTTAAGCTGCTGGGTCCAGGACTTGAACTGCTTTCAACTACATGGGAACTCAGAGGTATAACTATTATGCCACTTGCTAGTACTGAGTGTTTGAGTTTCTCTAACAGGTATTTTCTACTGGCCAATAAAATGGCTTTGCATTCACTTTTTTAGTCAACTGCTGCAAAACAGAGATTCCTAAGTACAGCTAGACAAGGCTAAGGATGCCCCTTTAACTTCGAATTCCTTTGGCACAATTAAATACATATCCAACAAAGAACAGCTGACTTGCTTCAGAATGTGCTCCCTTTGTCTCAGCCGCACTAGTGATGCATACAATATCTGAACAAACACTTCCCAAGTACAGGATTCTACCCACCTGACACCCCACCCCTAATACATTTCATTTAACCTTCTGATCTTTAGAAAGAAAAGAAAAACAAAACCAAGTTTTACCACTTGACTTACCACCCAAGAGCCTCTCAACATGAAGTTCATGAGAACAGGAGTTCTGCTAATTGCCAAGGCAGACAAAGCAGTTAAGCCAATACTTCCAGCTAAGTACATGTAGGTGGAGTGAATTCTGTCCTTCACATACTGAGGCCAAATTCTGTAAGAAACACAACATGGTTAATTGATGGAGTTTGGATATGTATCCTGGTTACATTCTTTTTTCGCTAGCCAACCCCGAGATAAATACATTTCCTCGTTTGAACACACATAACTGTGATCAAAGAGTTTTCTTAGGTCTTAATAAAGCCAGGAGATATTCTACTTTAATTCACGTGTATACACAGATGAAGACTAGACAGAAGACAGTCTGGAAGGGCCAAAAGACATGAACACTGGAAACTTTAAACCTGGAATCTGGAACAATTTACTCACACGGCCTTTTCAATAGCTCCAATCTCATTAGCCATTCCCAAGCCATAGTAGCACAGAGCTCCGAGACCAACAGCAGCCCCTCCAGCAACAAACCACCTTCCCATCTGATCAACTGCAGAAACGGGAGGAAAAGCAGGTTTATACTGTCATGTCTCGACATTACAGGGCTGGGAGTCAGGGTTTCACAGCACTGAGGAGGGGAATCAAATCATGTACTCTATTTCTATGTAACAGCCATAAATAGCATACCACACTATGTCTGCAGTGCTAACAAAAATAATGCTTTACACAGGGGTCAAGGAAAAAAGACAACAAAATTTATAAAGTAATCCAAGTTTACACAGCAGAAGGGAGAAGAAACTTGTTTTAGAGTACTGGGACAATTTATATATGAACTTCACCTCCATGGAAGTTATCATGTGGTGGTGATGTAAATTTTATGATTTGGTCTCTAGGGTCAGAAAACAGATGCCCAGAGGGTGCGAATTAGGGCTCTCCTGGCTGCACTACACAGCCACCCTGCAAGACCCAGAAGCAGTGGTAACTTGTTAGCTTTGTAGAAATGAACAGCCCCCTTTCTAAACTTGGGAAGCTGGTCCGAACTAGGATCAGACTGACTTCATGATAGTACTGCCATTCTGAGAGCCCAATATAGGCAAATGGGCACTCAGTCCAAGGACCTGCCTTGTCTTTAATTTGCTTGCGGGTGGCACATACTTGGCGGGGGCAACGAGAAAGCATCCCCCACGGGACACAGTCACACCCCAATCCCTTCACCATTTTTCCTTTTAGGATTTTGGGCGGTACATGTACTTCCAGCATGTTTCTCAAGCCAGTGAATTCAAAACATGAACTGGACAGATGACCATGAGGTCCAGACACCTTAACCATGCCACTGTGTGGTCTGACAACTCTTTCTAAACAGCTAGGGTTTTATTAATATCTTAATATCTATGTGCTGGTGATTTATTCTTAAACTAAAACATGTGCAAGTATGACATGCTCAAATAAGGGTACTACAGAAGTTCCAATCATCTTCCTCAGTAACCTATACCTTTTATGTTTAAGGCATATCAGTAACATAAAATACATATGTAGAATATAAACTATATGTATATATAACATATGTAAAATATAATTTCCACTTTAAAAAAAAAAGGATTTTTTGCTATAGGGCTTGTGTACTTGCCCGAGACAGGCAAAAAGCAAGAAATCACCTCCCGGGGGGATGGTCATGCTGCAACCCCTTCTCCATTCTCCTCTTGGAATTTTGGGTATGTGCATACATATGTGTCTGGCCTGAGTTTCAAGTTGTCAGGACTTGAACTGTGGTTGACAAGAGTAGGAGTCCAGTGCCCTAACTACTAAGTCACCTGCTGGCCCCAAATATTAATTTTCACCTTTAAAAAAAATGGTGAAAATGGCTGGCCAGCAACACGGTTAAGGCAGCCAGGCCTCATGTGGCCAAGTTTGTAGTTCACGTCCCAGACCTGGAGAAAAATGTGTATGTCCAAAATCCTGAAAGGAGGGAGAAAAGAAGGGACCTGTGCATGGCCATTCACCATGAGAGATGTTTTCTCACTCACTCTCTTCCTGTCCCTCTTTAGCAAGTGCACCCATCCTCTGACCAAAAAAAAGAAAGGGAAGTAAAATTTTCACTGTTAGAAATGTGACTGGGCGTGCGAAAACCAATACTTTTGGGGTCATCAGAACACTGAGAATGAAGGTCTTTTTTCCCAGAAAAGGTACATATACACAGGTTTGTAGATATTTTAAAGAACCTGTTCATGGACCTCTTAATTTGTACCCATGGACTCCAGGCTAAAAACTAAAGACTGCTACCTACTTTTAAATATTTTTTCCATCGATGGTTCCAACGCTGCTTCTTTGAGCTCCTGGCCAGTTCTCCCACGTCGGGTTCCAACTCTTGTCTTGGTGGCATATTCCTGATACACATGGGAACAAAGATACACACCATCCACACTGAGATAGAACATTAATAATAAAATAAAGGCTATCTTTATACTAGAACACTCCTGTTAAAGGAACCTAGTACTTTACATACATAATTTTATATCAAAGATTGTCAACCTAAACAATTAAATGCAGACTTTATCAGTGCTTTATCTTTGCAGTAATTCCCTAACTCACTATACACTTAACTTCTTAGTTTAAGAAAAACTTGTATCTTTTATAAGACTAAAGCTTTTATATATATATCTAGAAACATTACATTTTAAACAGTACCCAAATATCAGTATGAGAGTCTATGAATGTTGTGTTGTTTTAGTTTTTGCTAGAGCATGTGTGTACTTGCCCGAGACAGAGGGAGTGTGAAGGTGAAAAATCACCTCCCGGGTATGGTCACAACACGGTTCCTTCTCCCCTCAGTATCTTGGGCAAGCACATTCATGCTGGCATGATTTTCAAGCTGCTGGTTCCAGATCTCAAACTTCACAGTTGGCCCTGTGGGATCCAATGCCCTTAACCTCCTTCCTTGATACCTGCTGGCCCAAGAATATATACTGTTTTTAAAATAAGTATTTCGATTTTTTGAAAAAAATTTAAACGTTTTTCTTTTTTGAAAATTTTTCATACCTATCATTAATAATAAGAACTGTATTTTGTCATCTGGGAAGTTGGCTCAAGAAAGGTATCTTTTCTTGCCAAGAAGGTTACCTCCCTCCCTCCCTCCCTCTATTTTGGCTCTTTCCCAATAATGGAACAGCTAATCTAAGAGGAAAAATGTGTTTCCTTCGGGCGTCTGTATATTCTCCAGACTTACCCTTGTACTTCAGAATTTCTAAGTGCTAGAGAAATCTACTACAGGAGCAAATGAGTTTCTCTGTGACCTGACAGTTTTACTGTACTCTCCACATGTAACCCGCTCCTAAGCCAACTGCCACCTGTGACTATCTCTGGGTTCTTAAGCTTCTGACTCAAGACATACAATCTCTTTGTTGACCCGTAAATCACTCTAAATCACAATTTAGTCTAAATTTTCTGAACGAGAAATTCCAAGAGCTGTAAGTATAAGAAAGGTTACAGAGGCTTTTTTCTCTTTCCTGTGTAATAAGGAAGGACCAAAATGATAGAAAACTAAGAGGGGAAAAGAGCTCAATGGGAAAGTATCAAAGCTAATTGTTTCCATGAATAACAAAAGGCAGAGCAGCAAGCTTCCAAGGTTCTGGGGACAAAAGAAAGAAGACGACAACACAGTAACCCATTCAGAATATCTTTACCCTGCTGGGTGTTAAGAGCCATTGACTCTTCCTGATGGAATTCTTGAGGACAGGGGAGGCCTTGGTGAAGGATGGGTGTAAAACTCTGGAAGGTAGGGTCCGGAGACACACGAGCCTTGCTGCCAGCATGGTGGTGCACCAGGTTCACAGGCAGATCTAAAATGCTAGTTAGACAAAAGGATACTCCATTAACCCATTAATGGAAAAACACAGAAGAGTCAAAAATGAGGGACGAATGATCTTTTAGTTGAGAACATGGAATAAAGTGATCTTTTTAATTTTCAATGAGGAATCCTTTGCTGTCGCTTGTAATTCAAGAAACCCATCCCACTCTGGGATGGCCCCACAAAATTAGGTGTAAACTCTAGTAGACCAAAAAGAGGACACATGACTGCAAAAGTTCTAACAGTGGACAATGGTACTGTGACACGATTACAGGGTCTGTGACAGCTTTTACAAATGTAGTTTTTGGCTTAAGGTTTATACCAGTATCCAACAGGAAAATTTAAAATATCTAACTTTTGAACAGAGGCAAAATGTCATTTTGTCATTCAAGGAAAAGATGGTAACTCTCACAGATCATACCATATTAAAAGACTAAAAGATGACAACAGAAGTCAAACATACAAATTTCAAATATTATGGCCAAGTATTAGTTTCAAGATATAAAAATATTAGAATAAATCTACTCTATAAGCCTTAGTGCAACTATATAAGCCCATTTGTGCTTTCAAAGTAGCCTTGGTTACTAACCAGGTTTCCCTCATGTTAGGCTCTCAGTAGCACCCCTCCCAAAAAAGAATGCCAAAAACCAAATTCTCAGCTCCAGGCCAGATGAGGGCAGGGGGTATTAACTGAAGTCAGCTAAACTATGATGGACCAGAATAAGGACAAGGGTACACCACCTGGGGGCCCAGCTCCCCTTTGACTGCAAGTGTTCAGACAGGGCTCTGACCCCAGGACTAAATGCTCGGACACTGTGGGGTGCATCTTGAACTAAAACGTCTGATTCCTGGGTCTGTATTTACTCCTAGTGCTTCGACCTCTAGGAACTGTAGCAGGTCAGCTTGAGGTTCGGCAGGATTGCACGCAGCATTCTGAAATAAGGCCTCTAACCAGAAAGGGCTAAGTGCTGAGACCTGGGGAAGTCTGTTTGAGGAATGGTTAGATGAGAAACCAGGGCCGGGTGTGCACATGAAACGGGAACCACATAAACACTCGGGAGAAACGGTCTGGACCTGTATGCACCTTGGATCTGTAAATCCCGAGCACGTGCTGAGCTTTTGGGGCAGTTTGACAGCATTTGCTGTTTCCTTGTAACCTAGCTGCAAAAATAAACTCCCCGCTCCTGGTCTGGCTGCCGGGAGCAGCAGCCCGGGGTCTGCAGGTAACTGGCCCAGGTGTGTGCACATTAACCACCACGCAGAAGCCAAGGGCTCTCGCGCGTTCTTACCCTCTGCCCCGGGCCCTACGAAGGGTGTTCGGAGTTCGGAGAACACCAAAGTCCTTCGGGCCCTTGCATGCCGTTACATCAGCTCAACCTTCAGCTGCCCCTGAGCGCTTCCTCAGCACACTGCGCCACGGCCCGGCCCGGGCCAGCCAGGGTGGGAGGCCGGCTTCCAGCC